GAGACACAAAGACTCAAAGACACAGACACGAGCGCTGCGAGACTTCAGAGTGAGCTTCGGGGCTGCCCACGAAGCTGGGATGCAGACCGAAAGCGCTCCTGTTGGGCGGTGGAGTACGTGCTCCACGTTGTAAGAGCCAAGAAGGCAAGCTCATAAGGCAGGAAGGAAGGACTGGGGATTGGCTTCCGGGAGGCAGAAGGCAAGCCGAAGCTAGTTGATTCCAAGATGAAGTTCCCACAGTAAATCCGAAGATTCCGGTTGGATTCCATTTCTTTCTGCACCGTGTGTGAAGCAAACGCGTAGTTTGTGCTGGCCGGGCTCGTGACAAGACACTAACACGACCTCGCTCCCGAAAGGCTGTCGCAACGACTTGTGCCTGGACAAACTGAAGTACAAAAGACGATCACCATTAGATCCTCTATAGCACCAGCTTCTCACAGCCGAGTCAACGGCGTGAGCTGCTCCTGCACTTGACGAAGCACGTCGAAGAGGCAGCAAACAGCATCCTTGCAAGTGCAAGCTCGGCTGTGTTACGGGTGGGTGCAGAGCCAAGCGGGCCAAGCGCATGGCCACGGGAAGCCAGGAACTCAGCTGCGACCTGCATGAATAATTTCCAAGGATCAGAACTGTTCTGAGTGGCCCGGTTTACTACCACAGGCTGCAGTCTGAGGGCCCGCAGAGCCCAAGGTGAGGCGGGAACGCCGTGGAGCTGTAGTATTATGGTTGCCTTGCTTGTGCTCATGCCTTGTTGCGCCTGCTTTGCTTCATCAATACCAGTGCAAGACTCTGCCCACATCGGTCAGGCCTTGGCACAAGCCCTAGAATCACCCGATTGAAAGCTGAAGACACGAAATTTACCGCCTGGAAGCCGCCGTCGGTTAAACTGTTAAACCCCTGTTCCCCCACCCCCTCCGAGCGATACGGCAGAGGCCAAGGGAAGCACGAGAGCCGTGTCAGAAGGGCCAACACCTGCTGGCCCAACGAATGCTAGCACTTCGTTGCTTTGCAATCAGCCCGTCCCTGGGTACCGTGCCAGTAAGCAGGAATGCCAGTGTCCAGGATCCTTCAAATATTCTCGAAACCTCAGTCATCGACGTATCTCCGAGGACCAAGTGACAGGCACCCTCGGCACCCGGCAGGCGCCAGAGCAGTGGACAAATATGTTTCGGGTAAAGGTCGCAGAGCTCCGCCAAGATGTCACAGAGGAGCACCTCGCTCAAGAGAGAGAACCGCATTTGCAGGTCCGCTGGCCACAAGAAGAAACTGACCGCGCCACTCTGACCTTTGAGACTCCGGTTAGGTGCTTCATGCGAGTTGCAGGCCTCCAGCTCGCCTAAAGCCACGTTAGGCATTGGGGCCATGTGCCCAAAAGCCTTTGCGATGCATGTCGAGCTGCCAAAAGCTGGGTAAGGGAGAAGCTCAAGACTCTACTGGAGATGCGCAGAGCATCGCAGAGCAGACAGCCAGAGCCCGTACTTGGTCTGACATGTCGAAGGCCGGGCAGCTTCGCCTGAGAAGCAGACAGGAACCGATGCGAACTGCAACGTGGAAACAATCCATTTCAAAGGCTACATGAGGGCCCTTTCCCCTCAACCACGGCTAGGCTCTTCCGCTAGGCTGAGCACGCAGAGTCGCTACCCGCGCTGAAGCTCAAAGCCTGTCGCGGCGGGACTCGCAGAGGCAGGGTGCCATGGCATAGGAAGGGTGCTGCTTTGGTGCTCGGATGCCCTTCGGATGCCTTGCTGTGGAGCAGCTGTGGGAGCAGCAGGGTGGTCGCCAACCTGAGCCGACAGGCAGAAAACAAGATTGGGTCAGCGAAGCCTCGCAGTCCTCCGTGGCCCGGACTCCAGAACCTCCAAAGAAGGCTGCTCCGGCACCAAAGGACCTGCGGGAACAGAAGCGCAGATCCAAGCTCCCAGGCAGGCAAGCTGAAACGTCCGGAGCTGATTGCAAGGACCAGGGACCGATCCGGGGTGCAGCGGACGCTACAAACTGCTACCCTTTTTGCCGTGTCTTCTTCCCGTCTCATAGCATGAGCCAGATTAAGAAATCTGCTTGGCTCGTCAGATATTGCACTTCTACACTTACAAAGCGCACTGCAGCAGAAACTGGTGAATTCGAGCCGGTTCCCCCAAACCAAAAGCCAGGCACGCGGTGAAAGTGCGAAAGAGGCTTCTACCCACAAGGTGGCACCGCGAACCAGGACGACCAAGGAGAGCTGCATGTGACCAGAGCACAAGCTCGGGCATGGAAGCAGAAGAGGAACCCGTTGAGTGAGCCTAGGGACCAACCTGTGCTCGTCTTTGCCCCGTGAACAAACCTGAGCACAGCTGGCTCGTTTCGGGAACGAAGCCTCCTGCGCTGGCTAGGCGACGCAACGCTGCTTGCCACCTGGCAAGAGGTCAGGGTGTATATCCGATTATTCGAAACCTGGTAAAGCTCTCTGTGGACAGGAGACATCGAAGCCGCATAGTGGGAATGGTTCATGATTGGGGTGACTCAAGTCATGTCCACGTCCAGTGGCGGCGTGGTTCGGATGAAACTGAAACTAAAATCTGCGTGGGCATGGCGAGACAGACTCCGACAAAGCGATTGGGGACATCATGCGCAGCATCAAGCTCCAAAAGTTTTTGCGACTCTCATTGACAGCCTCATCAGCATCCGAAAAAGAAACACTTGGCCTTAGCAGCTTGTGCCGCCGGATCCTTGGCAGACAGTGGCGTTCACGTCGAGGGTTTTTAGCACCGACGTACTACTTGAAAAAACAGAATCCCACTGACTCCGGAGCCTTGCAATATGCAGACACCTGCAAACAACTAGACGTGCCCGTGTCAGACTCACAGGGACTGATGGGCAAGAAGTGTTACGGGGAATCATCGCATGCACTTCTTGAAGCTGACATTGGCAGGCTTGCTTGCCGACGCATAGAAGCACAGCATTCGCCTGCCCGAATCATTCATTTCCAAGCTAGCAAAAACCAATCTGGATTAGTGCTGTTTCCTCTTGAGCTGTTAACGCCAGTAACGCTTAAGCTGCAGCTAGATGCGGCTGTGGGCCAACATCTTTGCAACTGTTGCGACAAGACAACGGAACTTTCACTTGCTGTACCTTCACGACCAGGCAGATCTATCCAAAGATATGCTGCCCACAATCCCGACACACCGCACGCTGCCTCTATGGTTTTGCCAACACCGAGCAACAATCACCAACCTCACTTGCGTGAGCCATCAACTTGAAACCAGGCTCCTGGCACCCTGCATGATGCTCAAACAGCCAGCGGAACTTTCGTCATCAAAGCAGATTCCATCCGCATCATCCAAAGCTGAAGCTGCTCTTCGGGGATGAACTCCACAGCCAAACTCGACAGTGGATCAAGCAAGCAAGAAAATGTCTACAACCGCGGACATCGTCAGCATCCGAATGGAACTTCCTGTACTTAACTACTCAGATACAGCCAAGGAAGGTGTCGTCATCGCCGCCTCGGCCATCAACTTGAAACCATGCTCCTTGTATCGTCACTGCATGTGACGATGCTCAGACGACGAAAGGAACGTTGTCATCAAAGCGGGGCCGCCGCAAAAAGAATCGACAGTCGATCAACGCAGCACGACAACTCTCTTCTGCAAGCGAATGGAACTTCTTGTACCTCTGTATCTTCAACGTGACGTCAACGTACACTCAGATACAGCCACGGGGGTCACAAGCACAAGAAGGAAGTGACCTGCTACGCTGGTAAGACAATCCAGCTGAGCTCACCACTCTGTCGGTGCCTGGTCAGAAAGGCCCTCGAGCAGATTCATCCTTGGTCCCCATGCAGCTCAGCATAGGGGAGGCACTGGCCCTGGTGAGCTGAGACATCGGCGTTACAGCGGGGTCTTCCTCCTCCTCCGCCGGCAAAGGCTCCAGTGGCAGGCCTGCGCTTGGGCCAGCGACTTCGGCGTCGCGTCTACTCCAACCGCAGAGGCTGCAGAAGTGCGAAGTAATCACCCCGTCGCCTGGATGCAGCCCGATGAACTGCTGAAAAACCTGTCATGGAGCCAGACAGGCACGGTGGCCTCTTCGGCAGCTCTAGCAAAGCCGATCTTGGGAGCCGAGCATCTTGAAAGCTCTCCAGCTCATTCTGGTCGTCATCGTGGATCTAGCACGAGAGCAATACAACTCCACAACCTCAAACTTGTTGACACTGATGCATTTCAAGATTTGCAAATCCAAAACTACGGCACTGACCACCTTCACAAGTGCTTCCGTACCAAGCCCGCTCTTACAGGACATCACAACATTAGAAAATCATCCATCCTCGTAACGCCGACCGTTCCTGAAGGCGACAATGACGAAGCAGAGAAGCCCGAAAGACACTGCAAAGGGCAAGAGAAGGATGCAGGAACACTTCGCCGTGACGCAGAGACGGCCCTCGGCCTCGGCCCTGCCCGCAACGCACCGCACCGCACCTGAAGTTCCTCAAAGTTGAAGACGACACCGAGTGATGCCAGCTTCCGACTGTCCTGACTGCTGGCAAGTGTTCTCGAGCCCTTTTACTAGCTCAGTCAGCTTCGTGTTGAACTGCGGCTCTCAACAACCACCGCGGCACTGGCCATCCAAGCTTCAGATCTCACAACGCTAGACAGTGCTGGTCTCTGCTGGCTGGCATTGACATGAGTGCCACCGAGCCAACCATGTGCCACCTGTCAAGACGGCTCCTGCTCCAGCTTACACAGCATGACCCCGACGTGCTGCGCTGAGCGCCGAGTGAGAATCGCATGGTGGCGCGCCTAAGCTGGTGTAAGCAGCTGCGAACAGAACCTTTTTTGTGATCTTGCCAGCAGGCCTGTGCATGCATAGAGAAGGCAGACGAGTATCTTGGCCTGTGGCTCTCAGCAGGTCCTGGAGGTCAACAGACCTGGGTCATAGGTTCGAAACTGCAGGATTCTGTGAGGTGCCATTGAAGTTCATGTCAAGCTCACGAAAAATCTTTACTTAGAATGTATGCCCTTCTTTTGGCGAACTTGAGCTCAAGCCATCACAAGCAAACTCCAATTGCTCATGTTGAAAAGTTCAGGGAGCCATGCATCGCGTCCTGATCCATAAAGTTGGCAGCCTGGCAACACATCCGTTTTCATCGGAACAATCTGTAGACTTTCAATCGAAGCTGGCACAATTGATGCTGGCGGCCACTGCCGGTCGAGCCTTCACAATGGCCTCAAGCCATGTTCGGAGCTTCGGAACAAATGTGCCAACCAGCACCTGGCAGGGAGAAATGCTGCGACAGGATGTTCCCCGAGAATCCCCGAGAGGAAGAGAAAGCAACAGATGTGTGACTCTACACTCTACACGGATGATCAGAACACTTCCAGCGCTTCGCAACACACTTGGCTTATCCCTCCGAATTCACCACAAGGCTGGCCATCGAGGTTACATGTCACAGACAGCTTGTCGAACAACAAAAGCAGAGCAACCCTCACACGATGCACTCTCTCAGTTATTGAAGATATTGAGGGATTGTCCAGCTAGCCGGCTGAAGAGTGAGACTTTGCACGTCTGTCTGAAGAAGCATGTCAAGTGAGGTGCGCACCCACACACAAACAGATGTATACATAAATATGCACAGACACACACATTCGAACAAAACCCAGACCTCTTCAAGAGGCCAGTGCAGGCGAACCCTTCGACTCGCTCCAAGACTCCTCTCCAAGCCCAACGACCCTGCGAAATCACTTGACTTAGACTTAGACGCTCGGCAAGAGGAAAAAGAACGCAGCCCATCCCCAATGCTACCTCCCCAATCGCTTTCCTGGTGCGCCTACCCACCTGCGTTTGCTCGAACTGCTTTGGTTCGGAATAAAACACCGGTCGTCGAAGGCCCCTCGACGGGACAAGTCGCTTTCAGTGTCTTGGCAGCACAGACTGCAGACTGCGACTCAAAGGTTGAAAAAGCTGCTTGCAGCTGCTTGCAGGCTGGGCCAGGCCAGGCCAGGTCAAAGATCACCGCATTTCACATCTGCGTTTCGGCTATGAGCCGTGACATGCCGGGAATCCAGCTCGCGGTACAGCTCCTTGAGCTGGACTTTGCTTTCGTAGTGAAGGACCGTCCTGGCCGTGACAGGAACAACTGCTGTCGGCCATTGTAGACAGAGGCGCCGGAATGTGACTTGCTCACGGTGCAAGCACTGTGCAAGCCTTCCCCATGTGAAGTCACTTCCCTGAGGATGTGCATGGTCATGATTTCGCCAGACGGCACGTGCTTCAGATTAATAAGGCAATCATTGGCCTAAAGAAATCCAGCATACTTTGAAACCTGTGCCGCATTGCGGTGCACTTGCGCAGGCACAACTTCCGCAGCATGGGACCAACACTGAAATCCGTCAAGTCCGACCTATACACCCTTCTAGGCGGTGCTGAAGAATTTCGCACATTCGGTCGAATGCACTGGCATATTCGGACTTGCCGGGCTTCTGGCTGCGTGCATGAGGGTGCGTTTGTCGCACATACGAGGCGGTCGCGTTCACATCTTTGTCGGGACAGCTTTGGCCCCGTTACGGTGCTACTTGTCTCGATTCCGTATGGAGGAGTCGTCTGACCCAAATAACGATTGAAGTCCCTCAGGAAACTGCCTAGAGTGGGCAGTCTGCAACATATTCGAGAATAGGGCTATCAGGAGACTGGTGTCAGCTTCACGGTCTTCTTGCTGTTGTCGTGGGCCTTGAAAGCCTGTGCCAGGTGACAAACAAGCACGGCAAAGGCGTCGCGGAGTTGACGAGAGCTTCAAGTTGCTGCTGCTGCGGCTTTGCTTTCACACTGGCAAAGCCCTTAACCCAGTCCCAAACCGCCTCCAGCTTCATGTAGCTCAAAAACTCCGGGACAGCATCCTGAACCAATCTGCTGGGGTTGGTTCATGTTGGCCCTTGGGCAACTTGAGGGGCACACGGCCTATATGAAGCGATGGAAACGCAACGCTGTGCGGGTAGCGTAGATAGAACCGAAAGGATCGCTACGCCGCTACGCTGCTACGCTTTCACGATTTGACTCGCGACTTTACTTGGGCTCTTCTGGCGACACTGCCGACAATAAAGAGAGAGCTAAAGAGAGCTGCCGGTTCAATGCACCTGTTGCGTTCATTGTAGAGGCCGCGTGACAGGCAAGTTGCTCTGCAGGGGCTACTTCGTCTGTAGCGACAATCACAGACATATCCCAGCATCGAAGCGTCAAAGTATTGTCAAAGCAAAATTCGCATCCGAGTACTCTCAAGTCCTAAAGAATCTAAAGACGTTGCTAACCATTCAAAACACAACGTCCAGCCATGTATACGCGATAGGCAGGATGCATTGTTGTAATTTGCCGACGCGTCGCTACAATGACAGTCAATGTTTCTCTGTGGGGATCACCTTCAACACTTCGACTGCAGCAAGCAAACTGCAAGCACACCATTCCTGGCCGCTGGCACTGAAGAACTGCAGCGCGCGTGCATATCCCTCGGCCAGGACCTCGTGTCTTGGGATTATGGGTTGCCGCAAGGCAGAGACTCATGCCATCGACCATCGTAAGTCTAGCAGTTCGCCACAACCGCGCTCTCTGATGAGACGGTCTGAAAGTCCACGACTACCTCCGTGCCAGCTGCCAGCCTGTTGCCGGTACTTGAACTGGGCAACGTCAGCCTGAACGCAAGAAGAAATAGCAACAATCACAGCAAACCTACAAAGTCCTGTCTTCTTCCCTTTGCAGTCCTGGTTGGAAACCAAAGTTTGCTGTGCGTCGCCCTCGGCTTTGATGACGATCTGGTGGGCGAGCTGCCTCGCACTCTGGCGGTGCTCCGTGTTGCCCGGGCTCTCCCATCACCGCAATCACGAGGTTGCAAGCTTTTCTCTATAGCTTTTAAGTTTCATTTCATCCCGGCCTTGCCACCCAATCCTTGCGACAGCTCGTTTTGATCATACCAAGCAGGCATCATGCCTGCTGTTAACACCAGCAACGCACCATCCCTGTACAGTTCATCCTTATCAGACCGCAGACTCGTTGACAATTGACGGCCTTGGCAACTCGAGTGCAGTATCCGTGCATTGCCTCCTCACGCATAACAAACCACGACAGCCTTCGTCACAAATGATATGACCCTCATACGATTCATACTTTCATACCAGGTTAAACTTGCTCCTACTCAAAGTCCTGTTGGAGCATCTGTCGACATGATACCAAGAGCCCTCTAGTGCTACCAGTCGTCGCACTCATAATCAAAGCAACAACAGCAGCAGGAGGCGGAGGAGTAGTTAAGCAGCAGCAGCAGCAGCCATAGCAGCAATAGCAGCACAGGTAGTAGTAGTACTCAGCGTCGTCGTAGTGTTGGCCTTAGCTTCCCATCGAAGCAGGCGGGAAGCGGAGCCGTGAGCCGGAATTTTGCCCTGGGAAGTCGTGCCCTGGTTTCTGGAACAGCACCATGCTTCGCGGAAAATTTCTGCATCTCAGCATGGTGCTACATCCAGGCCTCCAAACACACCAGCATGCATCAGCAAAACAACCCAGTGCCGATGCCGAATGATGCCGCATGACGAAGTGCGGCAATGGAAGGACACGGCATTCGCTCGCCTCGCACTGAAGAGCTCCGTCTGCTTTCGGATGACCTGCCGTGCTAATCTTCACACTCATGGCAAACAGAAAATGCAGACCTACACAGACCCGTATCGTAGTCTGGGAGATTGCATGTTGCGACCAAGTTCGTTTCTACGGCCCGGAACTCCTCAGAACCCGTAACTTGCGTTCGCCGCAGGTTTCTCTAGAACTTCCCGGTTGACCGTGCTTGTAACACTCTACCAAAGTGTCTGCACCACTGCCCTTCACCCACTTGCACTTCCTTCCGCCTGCACACCATCAGCCCGAAGATTTGAGAGACTGTCTTTTTGCATGTACAATTCTGCGTGCAGCTTTGTGACACAACAACGCCCCTACACAACCTGCAAACTCGCCCACTTGTGCATGGCCAGGGATCCCTTCTGGGGCGTATGTTAATGGCACAGGCTTAGCCTCCTACCCTCAATTTGAAGCTGATCCTTGCTGGTTCGGTATTGCTCGACCGTATCCGGATGTTTGCAGGTGCAACGGGCCTTTGTCTTGTTCTCCTGCTCCGCCACCTGGATGTCCTGCTTCATTTCCTTTGACAAGGCTTTCAACTCCCCACGAGGCGAAAGCCATGTGACACTGATTTATCAGATCGTTGGCAGTATTCAAAACGGTTATAGAAGACTGTGGCAACCGGTGATTTCTCGCAGTATCAATTATTAATCATTGACAGCGCCTGGGTCTCGACGATCGCCGCAGCATACTCTTTCGGGAAATGAGCCGGTTGTAGTTGAAAGCTCATAACCTCAGGCTCAACGTTGGTTCATGTTTCCATTCAAACACATACTCAGACAGAGACATAGATACACACATACACATACGAACACACACACACACACACATGCGATTTCCGGTCAAGACCGGTTGTCATCCGTCTTGTGAAATCCATCTTCCTCACCTTTTGCCTCTTCTTGTCGATGATCTGAACATTTACTGAATGGGAGCATATGCCGCCGGAGCAAAGCTCAAGATAAACAAATTTAGATGCAATACAAGACTTTCAATATTTAAAGAAACTCAAGGCCGTCATGGTATACATGTATAGAGCTCTTATAAAGCTATGTGTCCATAGCGGCTTCCACCTATTCCGCTAGCTTCGTTGGCAGTCATCACGGAATAGGCTGGCCAGGCCCCTGCTCTCTTAATCTGTTTTCCATCCTTTATCTATAACGACATCCAACTCAAGACCCTTAGAAACAAGAGTTTCACACACACGCTCCCGGTCAAGCCGGCTGTCAACAAAGCAATTACACAAGATACAGAATAACTACATACGGCTCAGCAGAGTTAAAGGACTCCTTTATCCGAACTTTATCCCGATCACCATTGGCGACGAATCCTTGATTCATGCAGGCGAGCTAAACGCGCTCAGCAAATACATTAATTAGTTGTTCCGTCCCTTCCTACGGCCTGCGGCTACGCTTTCTCTTCCTGCTTGGTGAGGCTTCGAGGCGGAGATGGTCAGGAGCTCTCGCCCATGACGAACGGAGAAAGGAGGTCTCTTCTTGTCGACAGAAAAGTAAGCAGAGGTCTCTTCTTTCTCGAGACATTAAAGGTGTCTCTCTTCTGAGTTGTCGTGGTAAGGTCCTGCCGAAGGATCTCTTCCTCTACCAAGAGGTAAAGGAGC